TTTGACGACGGAGCAGCCCCTTCCCACCACGCTGCTCCGACTTCCCCTCCTCATCGCCGGGATTGAGACCAACCTGGCGGGGCTCCTGATCCAATGAGGGCTACTAGCCAGCCATAACCGAACATCGGTAATTACGATCGACATGGACTGAAGAAGAACACGAGTGCGAGGATAATTAATTAAGTGCATACTGGTAGGAATAGTAGTGGTCGTGAGACTAGAAATCAGGGTAACGTAGAACAAAGTAAAATATAAATAATTGCGCAGTGTTTTACAAATAGTAAGAAGGAAGAGATCGTCGGTAGTCGTTGCCTATTTCTGTGACCTGGTCATCAGAGAGACCATTCAGTTCGGGAAGAAGATTTGGAATGCCGGTAATGTGAAGTCGTGCTGACTGGAAAACGTGTTGCTGCAGATCAAAAAATTTCATCGGACAAGGCTCCGGAAGAGGTTCCTACAAGATGCAATTAATATTGGACGATAATATGTTCTTAGTCAACGTCACGTTGAAAGTAGCAAGTGCGTCGTGCCCCCGCCCCCGTGTTTGCTGTAATAGCTTGTCTTTTTCTAAATGGTTCCCTTGTTTAGCCAATTCAGAAGCTAGCACATGAACTTACTAAACAATACACAGTGAGGTAACCCTTCAGTTAGGTTTTATTAGCAATATGCAAAACTCGGAAAATCAGTACTTCCTTAAGAGGGCTTCACATTCGATGCAAAATCTACACTGATTCGTCTTCGCGTGTTCCCGCACAAACGGCGAGGAACAGTGTGAAGACTAGCAGTAATGTCAACGACGGCTTATACCGCTGTAACTCTTGCAGTTTTTTTTTCTGTGAAGAGCACCATAAACTTGTTTTCTGAAAGTTAGACTGGAAATGTGTGTACTTTATTCAATAATCCTAGCGTGTAGTCGGTGAAGATATTTTCACTATTGCTTCCTCACAACAAGGCTAATATGGCCCAACACTTACCGCACCATATACTGAATAATACGTCTCACTTCCAGCCCGCAGTCTACGACCGATGGCGTTGCGTTTGGAAATAGCGGG